GATCGCCCAAAGATCGCCCAAGAGGCCTCCAAGACGGCCCCAGAACGGCCCAAGAGGCCCCCAAGACGGCCCCAAGATGCCCCCAAGACGGCCCAGGAGGCTTTCAAGACGCCCAGGATGGCCTCCAAGACGGCCCCGGAGCACTCCAAGAGGGCCCCAAGTCGGCCCAGAGGGGCCCCCCAACCGGCTTCCGACGGCGTCGGACGGGCCAGGAGCCCACCAAAGCGGCCGTAGATGGCCCTAAGATGGCCCAAGACGGCCCAAGAGGCTCCCAAGAGGGCCTCCAGGAAGGGCTGAAAAAGTCAAAATCATTGATTTCCCATTAGTTTTTGAAGGATTGTTGCATTTGCTTTGTTTCGACCTTCCGAGGCCCGAGACGGCCCAAGTGCCCCCAAAGCTCGACCCAGAGGCCCCCAAGACGGCCTAAGAGGCCCCCAAGACGGCCCAAGAGCCCTCCACTCTCAAGATGGCCTCCAAGACGGCCCAAGAGCCCTCCAAGATGTTCTCCAAGAAAGCCCGAAAGGATCAAAATGGCCTCCACACGGCCAAGATGACCTTCAAGATGCCCACGTGTTCCTCAAAGGCTTTCCAAACCGATTTGGGGAACACATGGTCCGATAGCTTGGTAGGTCTGGCCTCAACGTTCGGCCACATATGCGCTTCCAAAAAGGCAGGGGGCGGCGGTGATTCGCCGTAGGCGTCTTCGCTAACTGAAAGACCTGAGATGTTCCAGTAATGTTGGCACTCCCCGCTGCTCGGTCTCAAACGCGCCAAGATGACCCAGGAGTCCGATAGGCTAAACGCTTGTGTGCATGCATACATGCATGCATACATGCATACATACATTCATATAAACATACACGCATGCATACATGCAAACATGCATTCATACATACATGCAGACAATCAATATACGTACATGCATGCATACATACATACACACATGCATACACATATATATATATATATACACACCCATACATACATACACACATACACACATACATGCATACGTACATACATATATACATACATACAGACGGGCATACATACATACCTACACACCTATATACCTGCATACCTACATACCTGTATACATACATACAATCATACGTATACACATCCATACATCCATCCGCCCATACATGCATACATACATACATACATGCATACGTACATACATACACGTATGCATGAACCCATGCATGCATGCATACCTGCATATACACATGAAGACATGTATGCACGCATGCTTGCACACATACATACGTACACATACATACATACACACATACATACACACATGCATACATACACTCATACATACATACATACATACATACATACATACATACATACATACATACATACATACATACATACACACATGCGTACAACCCTACGGGCTTACATACATTGACACTAACGCATGAGTGCAAACATACATGCATGCATCCATACATGAATGCATGCGCGTATGCATTCACCCAGACATGCAAACATACATACGTACACAGACGTACATACATACGGACACGCGTACACACATACATACATGCATACAACAACGTACAACCACACAACCATACAACCATACATACATACATGCACACAGCCATACAGCCTTACAGCCATGCATGCGTACATCTATGCATACACACATCCATGCATCCAACAATCCGAACATCCATACATCCTTACATCCCTACATACACACATGCATACAATCATGCGTACATGTTCAAGTGCATGCGTACGTATGTATATACATATATAAGTACAATGATCTGGAACGATGTGCAAATGCATACCCCACAAATGTGTATATACACCGTATGCGAAGACACCTTGAAGGCAAACTGATCTTTTCCAGTCGTCAGAACGCAACGGCTCAAGGGGTTCTCTCCAATCGCAGATGGGGGAACGGAAGAACGGATGAGCGGAAGAGCGGGAGAGCGAGAGAACGCACCTTTCCCCCTCACCATGTCATCCCTCTCATTCTTCCTGTTGGGTCCCTTCCTCTTCCTGATGCCCCACCATCTATTATTCTTAGATTGGGGTGTAGTGGCATCGCCAGCATCAACATCACCAATACTCCACCAATACCCCCAACCATCACCATCACAATGAACACCATCGGCTGCACCACCACCAACAACACGATTGACACAACCTGCACCACCGTGCTCGCACGACACCGACACCACCAACATCACCAACACAACCAGTCTTCACAACGCAGCACCACCGCCCGGTTCCCCCAACAGGCTGAAGACCACCAGCACCGTCAACGTCACCAGCGTAACCAACGCACACAACATCGTGAGTGGCATCACCAGCACTGTCACCAGCATCAAAATCCACAGCACCACCAACAACACAATCACCGCCATCAAGTCAAATTCACTGACAAGCAAGACGCTGATACCAAGCAGCGTCTAAGCTAATAGCTCCACAAAGTTCATCGATAGCCCCAACGTCACCAACCACAACGCGATCGACGTCAGCAGAGCCACAACAAACCGCACCAGCCTCACAATCATCTATACCGTAGCACCCCGCAGATGCGGATAAGAGTGAGAGGGCGGTGGGGACGTCGGCAGTTCGCGAGACTCTGAAAAAGCCCGCGAGAGGCGCCAAAGTTTCACAAATTATACAACGAGCCCGCCACAGGCGCCGATTGTTCGTTAAGGTCGCGGGTGGGTCGCAAATGGGTCGCGGGTGGGTCGCTGTTGGGTCGCGGGTGTAGAAGGCAGAAAATCCACTCCATAATGATCACCCCGGCAAGCGAAGCCGTTGAGTAAACGCACACAACGGATGAATCGAACAGACCAGGGCTGTTTAGTCAACGCCCAGGGCCGTTTAGTAAACGTCAATTGTCACGTTCGGGTGGTTGTTCCTCCCTTGAGGGTGGGTCGCCGGGTGGGTCGCGGGTGGGTCGCGGATGGGTCGCGGATGGGTCGCGGATGGGTGGCGGGGTAGGTCGCGGGGTGGGTCGCGGATGGGTCGCGGATGGGACGCGGTTGGGTCGCGGGTGGGTCGCAGGGTGGGTCGCGGGTGGGTCGCGGGTCGAGTCGCGGGTGGGTCGCGGGTGGGACGACGACAACAAACAAAAACAGCAACAACAACAACAACGCAACAATCAGAATTCCCACCACGAATTCCTTATTCAGCCACGCACGCAGGGACAATGAATGACCGCTCGGCCCCCTCACTCTGACAAATGCCACCCCGGTCTCGATCTCCAATTGCACACATTGCGACCATCACCGCCCCTCCCAACAACACTCAGGCCGTGGCCATCACTACAAACAGCATCACAACATCACTATTGACATTGCCACGGCCCACACCAAAATCGATGCCAGAAACATGCTCATTACCATGAACTTTGCTTATACAGCCAGAACATCAGCAGCGCTATCACCACCGAAAACACCACCAAGTCCATCAACATGACGATCAGCTCCCTTCGACATCATTACCGAAGATACGCACCACCAGCATCATTGTCGCCAAAATTCAAGGCAGCCCCAACGCAACCAATCTTGCCAACACAGCCATCACCACCAAGTCCATCAGCACTGGCAGACCCATCAGCTCCATCAGCGCCAGGATCACCATTCAGGCCCACCCTTCACGCGAACGGGGCTTTACGCATCCGTACAAGTGTAAGCAAACGTATACGGCCACATATGTATGTGATGCTATTCCCTGCGTCCCCGTGTCTGTCCCCCTCCCTCTCGCTCACTGTCTCTATGTCTGACTCTCTCGCTCTCTCGCGCTCTCTCGCGCTCTCTCTCTCTCTCTCTCTTTCGAAGTCTTCATTTTTATACATGTACATGTGTATATATATATATATATATAAGTAAATATGTATATATGTGTATGTCGTCGCCATTTGGGCCACTGACCCGTAGATCGATCCTTATAAGCGCAGAAGTGGGTATGAAGTGGAGGCTGGCGCGAATCTTACGCACCCATGGCAAAGTCCATCTTGAACGAGTCCGCTCCCACGCCCGAGGTCCTCTCTCCCACCTCTCCTTCCTTGTCCTTGGCCGAAACCTGCTGCTGCTCTTCCTCTTGCTGCTCGGCGAATGGCGTCGCCCAAGAAGAGGAAATCAACATACTGACGGTCGGAGCTGCAATCTGGGTAGCCGTGATGTTCTTCTCCGGGCGGGCGAGAACGCTGTTGATGCCCTGGAGCACCTTGGTCTCAAGGCCGGTTGCGCGGTACGGGATGGGAGGGGCATCAGAAGCAGGGAGAGCAGAACGAGGGGAAGGTGAAGGGAAGGAAGACAACACATAAGTCGAAACAGATCAGCAGGATCAGAGCCGGGAGCAGTGGAAGGTATACCATGTCGAGGTAGAGGTAAGGACCATGATGAGGAGCACGAGGAGGCGGACCTTCGGTGCAAGGAGGGCAGACCTGACGAAGAGTTCTGCCCACGCCACGGGGACTGGGAGCACAGCGGCAGAGCGAACCGATACGCAGAGCGAACAGACACGGTCAAAGGTGCCACGCGCCCGTGCAACACCCTGGCCGACTGAATCACCCTTCGCGCCCCGAAGGTCCCTGCACTCTCCCCTCCCCCTCCCGCCACGCTTTTCCGCAACTCTGCTTCTCAACGCCAATGTTCCCTCTCACTGTCTCCTCCTCTGGGTGCTCACTGCCCCCCTGTTCATCCGGCGTCCCGCCCACGTTCCCTCTCGCCTCGTCCTCCTGCCTCGGCCCGCTCGTGCTGCCGAGGCCTCACCTCGTATTCCTTCCCTTCTTCCTTCTCCTCCTGCTCCTGCTCCTAGGCCTCCTCCCCTCTGTCCCTTGTCTATCCTCCGTCTCCCCCTTCGTCTGCCACCATCCCACTATCACACCCAACGCTTGTCGTCGTCGTTCTCCTCTCCATTCCCCCTCTGCCCATGCCCATGGATGGTCCACGATGAACGCAACTCCCCTTCTCTGCCTCTTCCGGGTGGAGAGCCACTCTCCCCCCACGCCCGCCTTAGTGAAATCCGACGCCTTGACCTTGCCACACGCCTGCGCGCGATAAAGGGGGGGAGGAATTGGCATGCGAGCGATCAAGGCCAGGAAGTGAGTGCAAAGGAAGTGGCTGCGAAAGCCGAACAGGTTACAAATGACTGAGATGACCAATGCAGCTACATATGTACGCATACATATACACAGCTACATTCGCGCGTATATATATATATATAGATAGATATATACATACACTAGAACCATCGCGCGCGCTCAAGTTCTAGCTAGGATAATCGTCATCGTCATCATCGCCATCCTCATCACCATCATATCCGGCGTCATCGTCAGCGGCATCGTCATCATCACCATGACCATCACCATCATCACAATCGTCACCGTCACCACCATCAGCAACAACATCGTCATCACCATCGTCATCATCGCCATCGTCGTCATCATCGTCAATATCGTCACCTGAATTATCAACTTAATCATCCTCATCATCGCCATCGTCATCATTATCGTCATCGTCGTCATCGTTATCGTCATCATCACCATCATAATCTTCATCATCCGCCAACTCCTGCATCACAAGCACCATAAACAGCATCGCCACCATTATTCGGCGTTATCCTCCTGACCATCAGCAGCATCATCATAATGATCGTCATTATCACCATCCTCAACGGCATCACCGTCATCGTCATCATGATCGTCAGCATCACCACCACCATCATCATCATCATCATCATCATCATCATCATCATCACCATCACTCACATCACGATCACCATCATCAACATCAGCATCATCAGCATCATCATCATTCCCACTGTCAACATCATCATCATAACCTTCTTCGTCGTCATCATCATCACCATCACCATCACCATCACCATCACCATCATCATCATCATCATCATCATCATCATCATCATCATCATCATCATCATCATCATCATCGTCGTCGTCACCTTCATAATAGTCGTCATCATCGTCATCATTTTCGTCACCGTCGTCTCCGAAGCTCCCCCGCCGAACTCGAGGATATCTCCGCAGCGTCTTGCATGCCGCGTGAGCAGTATTGGGGATTTAGGTTGTGGGCCTGAGGCCGCCCTGCATAATCATCATTGTCATTATCACCAGCGTCTGGAAGCCTTGCGGGGCCCTTTCGGCGCCTTTTGGAGGCCTCTTGGAGCTTCCTGGGGGCCTCTCGAGGCCTCTTGCGGACTCCTGGGGGCCTCTTGGGAGCTTCTGGTGGGCGAGGGCTCGAAATGTCAGTTCGTGTTCCCCATCTGGGGCTCCTCTTGGAGTGTTCTGGGAGCTCTTTTGGGCCGTCTTGGAAGCTTCCTGGGCCGTCTTGGGGCCCTCTTGGGCTGTCTCGGTGGTCTCTTGGGGGCCTCTGGGCTCGTCTTGAGGCGATCTTTCGGGCCTCTTGGGCCGCCTTGGAGCGTCTGGAAGCCGAACTGGGGAGAACGCCAAAACCCTTCAAAACCCATTAAAAAACAATGACAATTTCCTATTGGGCCCGTCCCGAGAATGCTGTCGGAGACCTGCTGGGACACTTTGGCAGCTTTTTAACCGTCTTGGAGTGCTCCCGGGCCGCTTCGGACCTCTCTTGGGCTGTCCTGAGGGCGTCCTGGAGCCATTTTAGAGGGTCCTGGGAGCGTCCTGGCGTCTCCGGCGGGGGGGTGACCACAGCCACTGGGCAAAGTGAGGCCCCCCCCTGGTCCAGGACCCCCTCCCCATTCATATATATATATATATATATACACACACATACACATGCATACACATACATACACATACATACAGACATACAGACATACAGACATACAGACATACAGACATACAGACATACATACATATATAACCGCATGCCGACGATAATAAAGGGACCCCCCCCCTTCAGTGTTTAGAGTTGATTATCGTCGCCCTATACAAAATTCAAATTGGGCGACGAGCGCTGAGGCCGAACTTCATTATCACCTCGAAACGCTATGTTGAGATATCAACATCAAGCGATGTTGATATAGCAACATCAAGCGAAGCGATCACACTTTTTCAGGATGTGTCAAGCGAAACCAATAATTTTGGGAGGCAGACTCAAACGAAACGAGCAATGTTCTTATTATTATTCTACTTTCCTCTTCTTCTTTTATATTTCTATCTGTCCTCACGCTCGCCTGAACTTTTTTATCCCTGGGGTTGATTATCCATGGAAAATGAAGCACATGAGCAACCTACACGAGCACTTAAAACAATCAATTTTCATAAAGCGCTTGTAAATTAAAATTGATAGATTTGGAACTTTTGACTTTTCCTTTCTTCGTCCTCTTCTTATTATCCTCTTCTTCTTCTTTCTTATTATTCTTCTACTGTATTCTTCTTCTTTTATATTTATCTCTGTCCCCACGCTCGCCTGAACTGTTTTATCTCTGGGGTGATTATCCATGGAAATTGAGGCACATGAGCTACCCTACACGAGCACTTATAAAAAACAATTTTCATGAGAGATAAGCCATTGTTGAGGATATTTCTATGAAAACTAAACGCCAAGGATGTCTCAAAACGTGCTCGGCTTGGTCTCCTCTTGATCATCTCTTACTTCGAGATTATGCTGAGGTCTGCTCGGCTACTTTTATTATCTCTCCCTGAACCCCGAACTTTATTATCCCCTAGTGTTTATTCTCACGGGCATGAGGTTCTATATATATATATATATATATATATACATGCGTAAACATGTAGGATTGTGTACACAGGAAAAGGACAATCTATATAAACATACGTACGTCGTCCAAGGCGCCTCGGAAGGCGCAGAATACTCCTCCAAGGCGCGGAATCATGGTCCCGGACCGCCTTCCGGGAACATGATGGGGACGACCTCCTGAGGGCCTCCAGTGGGCCTCTTGGGGGCCTCTCGGAGGCCTGTTGGGCTCTCCTAGAAGCGTCTTGGGGCGCGCTCAGGGCCATTTTTTGGCATCTTGGGGGCCTCTGGGGGCCTCCGGGGAGGCTCTTGGGGGCCTCTTTGGGGCCTCTTGGGGCCTCGCGGGGCCCTCTTGGGGACCGCTGGGCTCGCTTAGGCAGTCTTGAAGCCCTGTCGGGGCTCTCCTGGAACCGTCTTGGGCGGCTCCTGGGCCATCTTGGGGCTCTCCTGGGCCGTCTTGGGACGATTTTGGGGGTCTCTTGGGCCGTCTTGGGGCGGTCTTGGGGGCCTCTTCGGCCGTCTTGGAGCGGTTTTGGGAGACTCTTGGACGGCCTTGGAGCGTCAGAACCCCGAAAAAGCGAGAAGGCCAAAAACCTCGAACAAAAAAAAAACAGATTTTGGCTTGTCCCCGCTCTCTTGGGAGGCCTCTTGGGATGCCTTCGGGGCCTCATGGAGCTCTCTTGGAACGTCTTCGGGCCTTCCTGGCCATTCCTGAGGCTATCTATGCGCGTCTTGGAACGCTCGCGGGCCGTCTTGGGCGGTCTCGAACTGTTCCTGGCGGTCCCAGGGGCCCTCCGGGACGCTTCGGACGCTCCCGGGGGCGCCCTGCACCCCCCATGGAGATTACTGGCAGCGCCCCGGGCCGCCCCCCGGCCCTACTCCGATCTATATATGTATATATATATATATATATACAGATGCGCGCACACATGTATCCACATGTTCCATATACATTAACATCGTATTGCGTCCTTGTTCCCGCCGACCTTTTAATTTGTTGGGCACACTCCGCACTTCCATAATTGCTAGCCAAATGTGAAGTGCAATTGAGAGACACAGATCTTGACAAAGAGAACTGGAAACTGGATGAATGCTGAAATTCGTTGGGTATATTCAAGTCGGGATTTAGGGAACGACATCGGTGAACAGCTAGGCGCTGAGGATTCAGAGGAAGATTCAAAAGACAAAATTTAGGTTGCATTTCCGCGGTTAGGATTTCCGTGAATATTCGGGTGAAGATGCTGGTGAATATTTCGACTCACATTTAGGCAGCTATTTTTGTTCCTTGATTTTCTCCCCCCCCCCCCAGCGAACACAAGCACACGATGCCCGTCCATGGGCAAGACCAGTTCGACTAAGCGCCGAATCCGCTTCCCCTCAAGGGGGCTCTAACCGCGCTCACATATGACTCGATAGCGGCAGGGCTGTAAATTGGCCGGCCGGGCAAACGTCACCACATTGAGGGAGGAAGGGGAGAAGGACGAGGACGAGGAGGGAGAGGAGGAGGAGGAGGGGGAGCGAGACAAGAGATACCAGCCAAAGCCAGGAGCGGCGTTCAGGCCAACCTGCAATAGGCGAGCCGTCGCGCGCACCGCACCCTGGGGCTGGTGGGCACTAGAGTTGGTTCTAAAAGACCGCGGAAATCATCGCCCGACTGCTCGGCAGTCTAGGCGCCCACATGGCCACGGCAGCGCAAGCGCAGAGAGAGAGAGAGAGAGAGAAACAAAAAAACAACAAAAAAAAAGAGGAGAGGGAAAGGATGGGGGAAACGCACGACCCAAGAGGAGAAGGAAAGGATGGGGGAAACGCACGACCCCAAACAGTGCGAAAGCCTCCGGGGCATCCACGCCTACACCGGCATCCACGCCGGCGCCCACGCCAATGGCGACCGCAGCCCCTACGCCAGGAACAAAACCGACGCCTCCACTGGCACCGGTGCCGGTGCCGTCACCAGCACCGCAGCGCACTGGTTCACGAGTAGAGCCACATACGGCAGTACCTGTGCAGAGAACCACCACCGCAGCGAATTGTGTGACATGTTCGTTGCGTCTTGCATCGTGGTGCGATTTATTTTCTCTGCGCTGGTATCGAAGAGCTCCGTGCCCGCCAGGGGCGGATATTTGGACGGTTAAGCCAGTTGCTGGGAAATATGCTGAGCAGCAGCACGACGTCGAGCAGCGCGGTCTTGGGTTAACACGACGGCCTTGGGTCAAGATTTAGGTGAGTATCCAAATTGAAATTGGTGGGAAGAGCTCTTGCTGGGCAGAGCAGAGCGGGACGGAGGGACGAGCTTGGAGAGGGACCTGGGGGTGAGGTCTAGTCCAGAGCCCAATTTGGGTGGGCAAGCGCGCTCGACAACGCTTTGAGCCGCGTATTGGCGCGCGGAGGGCGCCAGGGGTGGCGCCAGAGGCGCCGCCACGGGGCCCCAGCGCCGATCCAAGACATCTGCACAGAGCGAGTGGGAAGAGGAACAGGGGCGAGGTCCAAAAGGAGGAGGGGGGAGGAGCGGGGAGGACGGATGATGGCGACGAGACGCAGTCGGAGTAACCTCCAGGGTCTACGGGCGCACCCGTCTGAACAGCATTTTTGCTCAGGCAATTTTCACGCTCGGGAACTCTTGCTTCGCGTGTCGCGGCGGCCCCGGCGACACGCTACATGCCGTGCGAGCTAGCGTGTCGCTCCGCTCCGCGGGCCGGGAGGCTCGGGAAAGCTCGGAACGTTGAAGCCTTGGGGCTGGGAAGTGGACGGCGTGTCGCGCCGCGGCGTGGTGAGCCAGAACCGGCGGAGCGACACGTTATCCAAAAACTCCCGACCGCATGAAAACATTGTTTTACTCGCGGCGATAACGGGCGTTACGGGGGCGGGCGGGGGGGGGGATAAAGTAGCGCCCCCTTCCCCCCCGCCGTGTGGGTCCGGCACCACAAACTGCGGTGCCAGGCGCACTGCGGCAGTGCCGGGGACTTACGGGGGGGGTTGTTACGTTATGTGGGGGCGGGGGGGGGCATAACGCGCGGTCTTGGCCAAGGGTAACAAAAACACTCTCTGTGGTCATGCCGTGTATTTCTCCGTCGCCTTGCAGGAGCTGCTGCAGGCGGGGACGCAGAGCCGCCCTCGCGGCACTTCCGCTGGCACTCCTGCGGGCCTCCGCCCCCCCTGGCGGGAGGACAGCCTCCCTCGCCCCCTGACAAAAACGCAGTGCCCCCGCCAGGTAAGACGGCAGAGTGCGAGGCCTCCTGCCCCCAGGACCCCCGCCCAGACATGCCGGCGTCGTGCAAAAATCGCGACGGAAGGTGTTTGGGCGCCTTTGGCCTCTGGCGGCCCTCGCTGGGCCCCCGCGACCATCGCCACAAGAGTCGGGATGAAACTTTGGCCCAGGAGACAGGGTCGGGACATCGGGTGACCCCGCAGTGGAAAGATCAAGAAATTGCATGTCTGGGCTCGGAGCTTACAAAACCTGCCAGAGCCTGCTCCCAATATGCCCCCAGACCGCCGAAGATCACACAAAAGCCTCGATTCTCGATCGGCGCCGGCGACGTCGAAACATGCACGATTTGCGCAGCCTGTTGTTGAGGGACAACGATACGGGGGGAGACTGGCCAAAACGGGGAGACCTTGATCTGGCTTCTGCGATACATCTCCGATAGATCGGTGATCGGCGATAGGCTTCTGACAGCAAAGTCGCACGCTCCTGGCTGGAGTGGGCTATCAGGCCCGTGTCGCCGATCATTTGGCGATTGGGGGTCGATGCGTCAGCGACTGAGCGAGCCGTGGAGGCGACCAGGGATTCTGAGCTGGATAAGCCAAAAAAAAGTATGTTAAGAGGGGAGGGCGAAGGCAACATCGCTCAACATCGGTCCCGAGACCCCTCACGGGCTCGAAACTGACAAGTTTTTCGAGCCGCGCCCATCCGTGGCGACGAGGGGGGCCCCTGTCTCCCCCTCTCTCAGCTGGCCCGTTCCAATTTGGGCCACCTCGGCCTACCAGCCGGCTCCGACCTGAGCCCATCCCCCCCGAACGTTGGCCCGGAGGTGTAGGCCTGCAACGACGCGCTCTGAGAGCCCCACAGGCCCCGAGGGGCGGGTTGCAGTGTCACCCGCAGCGGCGCGACCGTTGCCGCGCTTGGCACGACTGTGATTCCATCCTCCTCCTCCTCCTCCTTCTCCTCCTCCGCTCCCCCCTCTCTCCCTGTCCGGGCGTGTGCCTGAGAGCCCCTGACCAGGTTGAGGGGTGCCCGCGGGCCCGGCGGAGCGTCTGGGGCGCGGCCTCCTCGTCGAGGTACAGGCAGCCCATGCGGATGGCCAGGCGGTGGCGGAACAGCAGCGTCGTGATGTCCTGCGGCTGTCCCAGGGGCACTGTCCCATGCGCCCTGCCCGACGGGAGGGGCAATTCCCCAGACCACCTCTAGAGGCCTCCCAGATGGGGTCGGAGGATCGCGCCGCATTGCCGATGCATCGCTGACGCATCGGCGATGCGCTGGAGACGTCGCCAATGTATCGGCGACGTCGGCGTGGAAAAGAATCGGGCTCCACATTGAACGGCATCGCCGATGCATCGGCGATGCAGCGCGCCCCTCCGACCCCTTGTACTCGGACCCCATCTGGGAGGCCTAAAACCTCACGTCGCGGAAAAATCGCGACGGGAGATTTTTTGGCAATCCTCACAAGGGCCCGGGGACGTCCTGGCCGGTCTTGGGATGAAAGGCTGGTCCTGGGGACTGGGTCGAAGCCTCTGGGGGTCCGCGTTGCGCCATGACCTGCGGTGAGGGGGTCATCTGCGAGGCTAGAATCCTCTCTCTCTCTCTCTCTAGATGTACCTCTCAATCACACACACAAGCACGCACGCACGCACGCACGCACGCACGCACGCACGCAGGCGCACACGCACGCACGCACGCACGCACGTACGAACGCACGCACGCACGCACGCACGCACGTACGCACACAGACACACACACACAGAAACACACACACACACACTTACACGCACACATCCACCACCTGGAAGTCGCTGTCCAGGACAGTAGCACGCCTCAGATATGGGTATCGTTGTGCCCTAAGCGGTCCCGATGCAAACATGTAGATGTGATCAAACCCGTGTGAATACATACACGTACACACATACTATATATTCATATATATATATAGATACATATATATATATATATATATATATATATTATACATATGTATATATACATATATATATATATATATATATATATATATATATCCGCCGGCCCCCTTGTGGGGCCACCAGGCTGTAGGCGCGAGGTTCGCAATTTCCTGTACCAGTTGTAGCTTGTAGTTTCCAGTGTTACAGTTCTGCTTCTTGCTGGTTACTGTAACTAGTTGATTGACCGCGCGAGGGGGGGGGAGGCCCAAACCGACATTTTAGCACCTCCTGGGCGCGTTGTCTGAATTGCTGGGGGGGGCTCGAAATCGACACCCCCCAAAACACACGGGATGCCACCCCTCACGCAGATCCGCGGGGTCAGGGTCCAAAAACACAGGGGATTTGCACATTTCTGAAATTCGGTGCCACCCCTCACGCAGATCCGCGGGGTCAGGGTCCAAAAACACATGGGATTTGCAACATTTCTGAAATTCGGTGCCACCCCTCACGCAGATCCGCGGGGTCAGGGTCCAAAAACACAGGGGATTTGCCACATTTCTGAAATTCGGTGCCACCCCTCACGCAGATCCGCGGGGTCAGGGTCCAAAAACACAGGGGATTTGCCACATTTCTGAAATTCGGTGCCACCCCTCACGCAGATCCGCGGGGTCAGGGTCCAAAAACACATGGGATTTGCCACATTTCTGAAATTCGGTGCCACCCCTCACGCAGATCCGCGGGGTCAGGGTCCAAAAACACATGGGATTTGCCACATTTCTGAAATTCGGTGCCACCCCTCACGCAGATCCGCGGGGTCAGGGTCCAAAAACACAGGGGATTTGCCACATTTCTGAAATTCATCACGCACATCCATCGCAAGGCGTGGTAACCCAAACTGCGAGAACTCCCTCGGCCCTTTAATCGCAAGGTGTGGTAACCAAGCCCTTAAACCATACACGTCTTACCAATCGCCAGGTGTGGTAACCCCTCTTGTGATCAGTTGGTTTTGCTGATTGCGACTCGGCTTCGCATGAAGTTTCGATACTGCTTCACGACAGCGCCAAGGCCTCATGACTTAGCTCTTCCATGGCCCATTCTCCGAGAGAGGGGGCCGGCGGCAGGGGGCGAAGCCCTTACGGATATATATATATATAATATATATATATGTGGTGTGTGTGTGTGTGTGTGTGTGTGTGTGTGTGTGTGTGTGTGTGTGTGTGTGTGTGTGTGTGTGTGTGTGTGTGTGTGTGTGTGTGTGTGTGTGTGTGTGTGTGTGTGTGTGTGTGTGTGTGTGTGTGTGTGTGTGTGTGTGTGCGTCTCATCTGGTCCCCTCTCTCCTGTCCTTTTTGCCCGCAGCATTTGAGCGGAGGGCAGCAGCTCGCAAGCAAAACTGATTTATGGCAGCTGCCTGCACAAGCAGGCCTCAGCCCAGAAGCATCCCGATGGCTCAGACCACACGGGGAGCTACTGAGAAGAACCCGATGTCTCAGACCACACGGGGAGCCAATGCCACTTCCGACCCCCCGAACTGGTAGACATCGGGAGCACGTACTGCTTTGCCAGCTCGTGACATAGCATGCGGGTGGGCCAGGGCAGTAGCCCTCCACTTCGGCTCCACCTGCCCCGTCAGCCATCGGGGAACGAGCACAAAGAGGGCGAGGGCAGGGGAGAGGATGATCAAATAAAATGAGTTTGTTTCAAACGATCCCCACCTAAGAATGCGAGGCGGGACACTCAGGAAGCACCGGCGCACTCTGGGCCTGGCGGCCGCTGCATGCAACCGTCATCGGTCGAAAACACGAGGCGAGACACCCAGGGAGCACCGGCACGCATTCGTCCTGGCGGCCGCGGTATGCAGGGTGTGCGAGGCGGGTCGGGAGCTCCTGGGGCTCCTTTCTTTCAACCTGGCAGCCCCAACCTGCCGAGTAGTGAAGCAGCTTCGGGAACCGAGAGCCCACTTCATGAATCATCGCCCCAGGCGCTGCTGCGACAGGCCCCCTCTCCCCGCTGGGCATTGCCTTATCGTCATCCAACGTTACCCGCTCCTCCGGCCCCCCCCCCTGGGCATGCACAACATGCGCGCCGCTGTGCTCGCTCTTTTCGCCCCGAGCCCCTAACCGAGGCCCGCCGTGCCGGGTCCTCGCCCAGGGTGTCGCCAATGTCCTGCTGCCCCTCCCCCGAGGTCTCGAACGCCTCAGCGGGCGCGGCCGACAGAGGGGACGCGGGAGCAGGCGGGCGTGCAACGCACCGAGGGCGCGAAAGAGGGCTGCAAGTTTGCTCTGCGGGCGGCCGAGACAATCAGCCGCCTCGGGCAGGCCACCGTTTTGCGCTCTGCCCCCCGCTCCCATGTTTCGCCACTGTGCCGGAGGCAAGTAGCGGAGTGTTATCAGGCACCTTCGAATCCTCCATTTCGAACAGTACTATACTCTTGACAGGCCTCACCCCCAAATTTCTGTACTGTCTCGGGCGCTCTCGTGCGTCTCTGGGGTTCGTCGCGTGAGTTCCCCAAGCAGCCTGGGGAGCGTTGCTCGGCGTCCACACTTCCCACATGTCCTCGATGGCCCAGGAGCCTGTCTTGGAGTCCTCGCGTGTATTCTCGTGGGCCGTTTGGAAGCCCTGGCGGCGGTCCCGAGATGCCGAAATCATTTAATAACATTCAGCTTGTATCTGGTTTACATAATCTCGGCATCTTGGAATTAAGAGACGACCCCGAAAATCGCCCCAAAACTGCCCCCAGCCACGAAAATGTACCCAAGGCTGCCCCAACAGGGGCCCCAACAGGATCTCGAAAGTGCCCCGGGAGCCCTCCCCCCTAAAGAACCCCGGAGACCACCGGCAGGCCCCAAAAGGCCCAAATAAGATTTCAAAGGGGCCACCGAGAGACCCCAAGAGGCCTCCACCGTGCCTGTGGTCTACGCCTTAGTGCGGAGGTGCGGGATGGTCTACGCCTCTCAGGATGAGTCTCCAAAGGGGCAGTGGGGCTGGCAAAGCTAGGGACGAGCATGCCATGTTGAAGTGAAGATCTCGTTCACAACCAATACCAAACGCCTGTCAAAACTGGCCTTGGCTCTGGGGGAACTAAACTATACCAGCACTCTGCACTCTCCCGGGGTGCGCTCTGACTGAGAACTCCAAGTGATTCCAGCCGTGGCGACGAGGGCCTTCCAAAAAGGCCCCCCAAAAGCGAAAACGAAGGAAAGTAGCGGTAGCTCGTGCGTTGATTAGTTCAGATTCGTGCGTGTTGCTCCTCATGCCGATCGGACTCCGTTGTGCACTCTCAGCGCCTAGTTTCAGCACAACGCCTGGGGAATTTTCCCGAGAGGCGTTCAACCTACCCAAAAGGAGCCGCTACTGAGCGCGAGGTCCGCTGAGCAATACAGCGGACCCCACAATAATAAGCCGTTGGCTCGTCGACAACGGTCAAGTACTAAGCGCTGCGATCCCATCCTGGCCACCTCTTATCCAGGAAACCCAAATCACGTCTACCTATACGACCACCCTTCGGGTGATAAGGAGGTTGTGGGGGGCAGAGGGGGGGGTAACCAACATCTCACTCAATCGATCTCACCACCGATCTCACTCAACGGGACACCACGGGACACCACGGAACTTGTCGATCTCACTATCGATCTCACTCAACGAGACACCACGGGCCACGGGACACCACGGGACACCTCTCGATCTCACTTTCGGTCTCACTATCGATCTCGCGATCGGTCTCACTCAACGGGACACCACGGGCCACCACGGGCCACAACGGGACACTTGCCGATCTCACTATCAATCTCGCTATCGGTCTCACTCAACGGGACACTACGGGCCACAACGGGAAACCACGGGACATTTGTCGATCTCACTATCGATCTCGCTATCGGTCTCACTCAACGGGACACCACGGGCCACCACGGGACACTACGGGACACCACTGGACACCGCGGGACACCTGGCGATCTCACTATCGGTCTCACGATCGATCTCACCATCGATCTCACTCAACGGGACACCATAGGACACCACGGGACACCACGGGACACCTCGGGCCACCGCCGGACGGACGGACGGAGGAGAAACATTTGTCTTGACTTCGCCCTAGCAGCGGCGGGTTGATTCCTCTCGCGCGCCCACGCAGCTTCGCCTCGCCCGCACGCACGACACGAACGAAACGAAACAATTTCCCGGTTGGGGTCTCCGTTCCACTGCGATCTCACCCCAATCTCCGACCTGTTGATGCCCCTGTCGAGGGCCACAAGAGGTCAGGAATACAATAAAGACATAGGCTGACAACGGATGAGCCACCCCTGAAGATTTTACATGTCCTGGGGCGTCGCGTCGTGATGACGCCGACGCTGGTTTCTGACACCGCGCGGCTCGATGAACCTTCAAAACCAAAGCGGCGTACCGAGCATGGGAAAACCAACCTGCTCTGACACCGCTACTCCACGGCCTCCCCCCTTGCAGCGGTGCAAAGCTATCCATGCTCCGGTGGAGACGGCGCCGGCGCCTGTCCGGGTCGAGTTCGGCAGCGCTGCGAACTCTGCCTGCGCGCTGGAACCTCCCGAACAGCGGGTTCGCTTGCTGACCCGCGGCTTATGCGCGCCGGGCAAGTCGACGGTGATGCCGAGGACGTCGATGAAGGTCGGATAGCCCCTTTGGGGTCCTCAAGGTTCAAAGCCGCATATTCGGTTTCTTGTCGGCCGCCTCCAGCTGGCCAGAGAGCCTGTCGATGCGCCAGAGGTAGTTCACGCCCAGTTGGACATCGCCTCCGAATGGCCGATCATGGTCTTGTCGTCCACGTAAGTGTGGAGGCCGAGCGTGCCAACGCGCGCGGCCAGTGCCCTGGCGTGGGCGCCGGCGAGCAGGGCAGCACCCAAGGGGCTCGAGGGGTCTCCTTGTGCCAGACTCCGCACCAGAGCAGCCACCTCTCGCGCGAACACGCCGCCTGCCTTGAGCCAGGTCGGGCGGTCGCAGGTGGCGCCGAAAAGACTTGACAAGAAGGTCTTTCTGCGCGACTGTTCGCTCTTGGGATCCTTGGCGCTGAAACTTGTTACATCGCTGACTCGTGTAAAAACGTCTTCCTAGTCACTTGCTGTTTTGGGGGAGCCTTGGCGTCAAAGCTGCGTCCGTCATTGAGCCGTCAGAAGGAGTCCTCTGGGGTCCTTTTGGTCTTGGGGCCCGCTAGGCCCGTTTGGTGGCCCTTGAGGGGCTTAACCCCTTCTTGGGGCTGGGGCCATTGTCGGCCCTCTGGGGGGCCTCCTACGGCACCCTGGGGGCTCTCTTGGAAGCCTCTTGAGAAGCCGTCGTGGGGCTCTCAGTTACCGTTCTGGAACCCTCTTGGGCCGTCTTGAGGACCTCTTCGGAACCTCTGGGGCCGTCTTGGGGCTTTCTCGGATGCCCTCAGGGCTGTCTTCGGCCGATCTGCGCCCGGAAAGGTGAGAAACCAAACATCACGCAAAAACCTTAGGGGAATCAATGCTTTTCCTTTCTGCAGCAATATTGGGGGTCCTCTTGGGGGCCTTTTGGGCCATGCAGGGGCTCCCAAGAGGCCGTCTCGGGGCGCTTAGGCCATCTTTGGGCAATGTGGGGTTCTCTATGGGGCCTTCTATAGCCAGCTGGGGTTCTCTTGGGAGCCTCTGGGGGTCCTCTTGGGGCTCTTGATCCTGGATCCCTCGATCCCTCCTCCGTCTTCCCCTTCCTCCCCCTTTTCCCCGTGGTTGAGAACAGCAGCAGTGAGCCGCCTGCAGGAACTCCATATAGTTGATGGTCCCGTTGCCCGTGTAGTCGATCGCCTTCGCGATGGAGAGGATCCTCTCGCGAAGCGGCCGTTTTGGCCGTCACGCTCACTTGGCGGGACCGTCTTCTCGCCATGGGCTGCTTCCGCCCCCCTCCCTCCTCCCCTCAATTCTTTTATCCTCAATCGCATCATCCTTCTCTTCCTCCTCACCATCAAATATTGTACTTCTGATCTTCAACCGCCTCGTTCGCCTCATTTCGCCTTCTTGAGGGAGGCGAAGGAAGTGGTTGAGGAGGCGGTTGAGGAGACGGAGGGGCCCTCCGCATCAGTCACCTCCTTTTCCGCCTCCACGTCGCCTTTCCCCCTCCGCCTCCTCCTCCTCCTCCTCTTTCTCCTCTTTCTCCTCCTCCTCTTCTTCCTCCTACGCCTCCGTTTTTTTCCTTTTCCTACATTCATTTTCATTCTAAACAACTTCCCTCTGTCGCACCCCGAGGCTAGTTTTTAGGGCGGGCCGGGCGTTTCGCCTGAGACTTCCTCACCGCTTACGACACTGAAACTTCAACGGTGGCAACAGTTTCACATATGGATGGCGGTTCGTTTTCAAAATGTGGTTCTCGCCTCAGAGTCGCGCACACTCCTTTAAACAAATTGCAAGAGATTCACGGATTGAGGGCGACGCGTTTTCAAAATGTGGCTCTCGCCTTAGCGCAGCGTACATTCGTTAAAAACATTGCGTGAGTTTCACGGGTTGAGCGCGGTTCCTTTCCAAAGTGTGGTTCTCACCGTAGCGCTGCGCACATTCGGTTTTAAATGTTACAGGAGGTTCACGGATTCCCATCATCAGCGTACCAGAAATGATGCTATGGACGGGTTCAGGCTTATGAGGGTGCAACAATTACAGCGTTGATTCGCGATGTTGAAATTCCAAGAATGGCGTTCTGGCACGATTCGCGATCGTCAAGACGCAACAGTCAGGTTGATCCGTGGCGTTGGAATCCCAAAAACAATGTTTTGTCATGCTTCAGGGTCTTCAAACGGGTTTGTCTTCCAACGAAGTAGGTCTCCCAGTGGAAATGAACCGTTGTAGGGGCCTATGAAGAGGGAGCTTGGTGGGAGGGTGTATTCCAACATCGTTGATGACTCTTGGGTTTATACTGGTCCTCCTCCTCCTCCTCCTCCTCCTCCTCCTCCTCCTCCTCCTCCCCCCCCACCCCCTCTACCTCCTCCTTCTCCGCCTTCTCCTCCACCTCCTCCTCCTCCTTCTCCTCCTCCCTCCCTCCAGGGCCGGCCCCATGTCCCGAGCGTGTGGTAGGGTCATCAACTCGTCGTTGTCGTTGTCGCTGTCGTCGTGGTTGTCGTCGTGGTCGTCGTCGTCGTCCTTCTAGGTCGGCGGCCCCGGCCGTAAGGCCTTCATAATATCCTAAGTATGATCCTCAACCGCTTCATTCGCCTCATTTCGCATCCACGAGGGAGGCGAAGGCGGTGGTTGAGGAGGCGGTCGATTAAACGGAGGGGCCCTCCGCATTCCTCCTCCTCCTGCTCCTCCACCCTCCCTCCGCCTCATTCTTCTCTTCCCGCCAAGGAATACGACGACCTTCCCGCTTCTGGCGCCGAGCAGCGCTGCTATTTCTGGCCGGTGTAGTTCCGACCGACTTGCCAGCAGGCCACGCCCAACATAGTTATCACTGCCAGAAGTCAACTGTCCCTGGTGTATGGCGGCGGATGGAAATTGGACCCACGGGACGTGAAAAGAACGCCCGTCATGACTTCAGAAAAGACCTGTCGCAATGAGTCCAGAGCTCTGCAGTCAGAAGGGTGTGCACGGGGCCTTTGATGAATCACCAACGCCCCATTTTTCAAGCTAAAATGGTGCTTCCTGCTGGGGCCCTGCAGAATGCCCAATGCACTCCGAATCCATGTTGGACCCAAGACACTCTTTCTCCCGAAACTCTCATTTTGTGCCGAGAGCGGCGACAACAACTACCGAAGGCATTCTCGATCTGGTCTGTCCGCCTCCCTGGGCATGCCCCAGCAGAGTCCGAATTGCAATTACCCTGGTGCGACCTCGACGTGCCCTTATGAACCCGACGTGCGGATCTAACACTGGCACTTCTTTACTTTCGCGACAACAAAGTGTTTCCAAGAAAATTGCAAACGGAGCGACATCACCCCCCCCCCGCGCTTCCGATCTCATCGTCAATACCTACTCGCAGGCCGTGGCCCGCAAAAGCCGACATTTTGTCAACACGCTTTGCGCTTGCCCGGATCGAAAGCCCCAAGCCTTGAAATCGTGGCTGGGGTCTGTCCCGCTTTCATTCCGACTTGCGTGTTTCTTTATCTTTCTCTGGCAACACTCCCGAGAAAGAAAATGATTGGAGAATTCAGTCCTGCTCACCCCGCCGCCGGCCACCAACCAAATTTGGCCCGCGGGATTGAGCTTGGCGGGCACCGCCACCATCATTGGAAGGGGGGCAGGGGATCCACGGACCACATGCCCGTGATGCAATCTCGCCGAGATCCGAAGAATGACCACATGACTAGATTTTGTTTTCGGGAGTGCGGTAGATAACGGTACCATGCACTGGTGGGGCGTCCAGGAACCTCTCTGCGACCGCAGCACCCAAGGAATGAAAGATGTAGCCTTCGAGCCGAGGAGCGGGCTGTTCGCACAGCGCTGCGCTGCCTGGGCACCCTGGAAAGGGCAGGCCGCAGCGGCGCAGGCCCCGAGATGACTGGGGCGGTGGTTCCCATGGGCCCGCAAGTTGCGTGGATGTCACTGGGCCAACTGGGGACCACGGCAGAGCAAGGATACATCTCCCCACCGCGACAGCACGAAAAAAACGCACGATGGCCCTGTGGTTGCCTCTCGAAACGTGCCGGCGAAGCGGTGCGGCACAGGAGCAGAACGGAAGAGGCCGCGGGCCGGGAAAAGGGACTGAAGCAAGGTGTGCGGGATCCCCCATGCCCAATCGGATACGGCAGCGGAAGTATGAACGTATCGTCGGGGCGGGCTGCCCGCATTGCCAGAAAAGAAGCAGCAATGGCAGCAAAGAGCCGCCTTTCGCTGGTGAGGGACTCGCCGTCCACCACCAAGTCCTGCGTGCAGCGGGCATTCTGGATTTCAGTAGGCAGCGTTAATCAGAGTGGGCCCCACCGAGAATGCTTAGCAACTCTATGTTGTGTACTCTATGTGGGGCAACAGATCTGGCGCAATGTTGCGCAAACGGTGATGTGCAATCTATGTGGCGCAACCAGCGTGGTGTAATCTACGTGGTGGGATTTGTGTTGTGCTGTCTATGTTGTGCATTCCTCGTCGAACAATTACTTTACTGCAATCTGTGTGCGGTGTAATTAATCTGGCGAGCTGGAATTTGTCATATCCACTGTTCGCGCAGTTGTCCTACCCATACATTCGCATCTTGGTCTGCAAAAGCCCATGCGGTGGCGATTGCGATGACTGCTCGGCGCTGGTTTGCGCATCGGTGCGGCCGCGCTGGCGCGCGCAAGCTCTCACGCAGAGCGGCCGGCCGGCCGGCCTGTCGCGACCGACGCGGTCGCGGTGGCGCTGACCGCTAGGGCCTTCCAGCGCGTTTCGCAGGACGCGAGTCTGTGGTTCTGGCGGGCGCGGCATTACTGTGACGTCGGCAACGGTGGACAAATCGATGGTCGTAGCGATAATGGTGCCCATGGTGGCGCTGATGACGACAAGGCCAACAACTGCGCCGAAACTGGTCGCGCCGATGACGATGATGGTGTCCAACTGTCGGCCATGACGGTTTGTGGAAGGATTTCCACATGCGCGCGCGGCCGACGCGCGCGAGTGGCCCGCATGGTATCATTTAAATGGGATCGTGCCGTTCCAGCAAGCGCCCCAAGGCGTTCGGATGATATTGACATGCGCGCGCGAGAGGCCCGAGCGGTCTCAGGTGACGGCAATGCTGTGCAAAGCCAGCAGTGCCCATGCAAATTCGCTAGATCGCGCGCACAGGTTTTCGGATGAGTAGTAAAGCGACCTAATGATTGTAGTTGCATGTGTTCGGGGACCTTGATATTGAAATCACTGCGGGAAACTCGGTTGTGAGGGCTTCGACATGCGCGCGCGACGGCGCGCGTGTGGACTGTCAAATTTGTTGCAAGGGATATTCGAGCCTGAGTGAGTTTTGAACAACGGGCGGGCGCATCGCCCTAGTTGACAGGTCTGACGGGGGGTTCGGTACTGGCTTGGCTGGGACGGCATGCGCTCACATGTCACATGAACGATACTGCAACACCAGATGCAACCTGCAATGTCCCGGGGGGCGTCGCTCAGTCCAGCCCCAGGAGGGTGGTAGACTCTGTTCTGCGTTGGCAATAGAGAGTCTGCGCGGTGCAATCAGTCTTGAAGAACAGGAAACTGCCACCTACAACGCTCGGGAAGTCACCCCGCCAGCCCACGCGCAACTTCGTTTGCAAAACCCATGCGGCGGTGATTGCGATGACTCCTCGGCGCTGGCTGGCGCATCGGGGCGGCCGCTCTGGCGCGCGCATGCTCGCGCGCAGAGCGGCAGGCGAGTTCGGCGCGACCGACGCGGCCGCGGCGGCGCTGACCGCTAGGGGCTACTCAGCGAATCTCGCTGTCCGCGCTCGTGCGCGGGCACTTCAGTGCGAGTCGGTGACTCTGGCGGGCGCGGCAGCATGGTGACGTCGGCAACGGCGGACGCGATGATGCTAGCAGCGATAAGGGTGACCATGGTGGCGATGACGACGGCGGGCCAGTAGCGGCGCCGATGCCGGTCATGCCGACGACGATGATGGCGCCCACCTCTCGGCGGCAAGCGTTTCGCAAAGATTTTTCGACGCGCGCGGGGCCGACGCGCGCGAGTGGTCAACATGGCGCTGTTTGACAGGGATCGCGCCACCCCCCCGCGCCCCGCGCCCCGCCGCCCCGCCCCCCAGCGGCGCGCGCTAGAGAATTCGAATGATGCCAACGCGCGCGCGAGTGGCCCGCGCGTTCTCGCGCGGCGAAACTAGTGAAACACTGCGGTTTTGATTTCGCTCGAATTCGCGGGGGCGCGCTGGCTGATTTGTTAAACGCAAAGCGATGCAAAACCACTGGTTCATGCGATGTTTCGGGAACCTCGATCTCAAATCACAGCAAATCCGAAGGTCTTTGTAGAATGCGGCATGCGCGCGCGACGCCGCGCGCGGGGCCTCTGTCAACTTGACTGCGCGCGCGCGTAATATTCGTTGACAGGGGTGAATGTGGGAGTTCGATTCGGGCGCCCCCTGGGGCGGCATGAACTCACATTCAAAGTGAGCGCGGCGCCAGGAACGCGCGCAAAATAGCAGCGCCACAAGGGGCGCCGACAAATCCGGCGGCGGGGCAACATGCGCCGCAAAGGGGTGCCGGTGAAGCCGTGCGTGGGGGGGGGCAACGTTTTTCCTGGAAAAAAAACTCGCCCTGAAGAGCTGGAATTTGTCCATTCTACCGTTCGCGCATTCGCCCCGCTCGCCCATCCACATCTTGGTCTGCGCAACCCATGCGGCGGCTATTGCGATGACGCCTCGGCGCTGGCTGGCGCATCGTTGCGGCCGCGCTGGCGCGCGCAAGCTCGCGCGCAGAGCGGCCGGCCTGTCTGCCGCGACCGACGCGGTCGCGGCGGCGCTGACCGCTGGAGACTTCCCAGCGAGCCTCACAGGCCGCGCTGACGCGCGGGCACTTCAGCGCGAGTCGGCGTCGCGGGCGGGCGCGGCGTCACGGCGAAGTCGACGTCAGCAGAGGCGGCGATGCTCGCGGCGATGACGGCGACGACGATGGCGACGACGACGGCAAGACAAATGGCGGCGCCGATGCCGGTCACGCAGACGACGACGATGGGGCCCGCGATTCGGCGATGAAGGATTGGGAAACATTCCGGCGCGCGCGCGCGCGGCCGACGCAGGCGAGCGACCGGATCGCGCCGCCCCCCAGCGAATGCAAAAGGGCTAGCGTGATTTCGGCGCGCGCGCGAGTGGCCTGCTCTGTCATTTGAAAATACAAGAAAACATGATTGCTGAAGAATTCGCAAGAGCGCGAGCGCAGATGCGCAACTGTTGGAGCGACCGCGCCACGAGGCCGTTGCTTTCTGCATCGGAGACCACGAAGTGGAAATCCAGGCGAACCCTTCGGTTTTGGAACTTTCCGGCGGGCGCGCGCGAAGACGCGCGAGCGTCGACTTCGTCGCGTCGTCTGCAAGAGATGGTTGAACGCGGAGTTCGGGAAGACGACTGCGCGTGCGCAGCGTCATTCGACATGTTTTTTTTTGTCGCGGGGGCGGGGGGGGGCGATGGCGGCGGCCCCTGGGGCGGCGCGAATACGCGGTTAAAAAGAAGGGCAGACTCATAGGTGAAGTGCACGATGCCAGGGGCGCCGATAATTCTTCTTGCGGGGGGGGGGGGGGGGGTAAATCTCAGTTCCTGTTGAAGGGGAACCTGCGCGGGGCGACTCGCGACAGCCGCGCGCAAATTGCGGCGGCGATTTCGATGGCTCCTTGGCGCTGGCCGGCGCGTCGCCGCGGACGCGCGCGCAGGCTCGCGCGCAGAGCGGCCGGCGAGTGCGGCGCGACCGAGGCGACCGCGGCGGCGACGACCGCCGGGGGCTCCCCGTCGCGTCGCGCAGGTCGCGCCGACGCGCACTTCAGCGCGAGTCGGTGACCGGGGCGGGGGCGGCGCCGTTGCGACGTCGACAACTGCAGAGAAGATGATGATTGCAGCGGCGATGGTGGCGATGGTGGCGATGGCGACGGCGAAGGCCACGCCGATGGCGATGACGATGCCCGCGCGTCGGCAATGACGATCCCGGAAGGGTTTTGACGCGCGCGCGGGGCCGACCCGGGCGAGTGGCCCGCGCGACATTGCTCGACGAAGATCCCCCCCCACCCCCCACCCCCCAGCAAGCGCACAGGCATTCGAATGATTTCGACGACTGCGCGCGAGCAGCCCGCTTGGTCGCGCGCGATGAGAATGGTCGATCAACAGGTTGCGCACGCGAGTTCGCAATGGCGCGCGCGGGAACCTGTATGACATAAGGAATCTGTTGCAAGACCAGGGGCGGTGCATACACATAGACATATATGTACATGTGTGCGCGTGCGTGCGTGCGCGTATACTGGGAAACGCAATCCTAAGTCATCGCGAGACGTGCGATTTTTGAGCAATTCGGGCATGCGCGCGCGACGACACGCGCGTCGACTGCGCCCCATTCCCCGCAGCTTATCGTTGGAAAGCAACGGTGTCGTCCACGAGTGCGCGCGCGCAAACCCATCTGACAGGAGGGGGGGCGATAACGGTGCGCCAGGGGGGTTCTGAACTGATTTCCAAAACATTGTACATTGCACGGCCCCAGCGACTGCGATGGCGTGGGGGAAGAGGGGGATCTTGATTTCTTTTTAGAAATAAAAATATTGCGCAATCGGTGTGGCGCGATCTACGCGCCAATGTGCCGCCCGGCCATGCGGCTTCGATTGCGATGACTGCGCGGCGGTGGCTGGCTGGCGCGCGCAGGCGCGCGAAAAAGAGTGCCGGCTAGATTGGCGCGACCGACGCGGGCGCGGTGGCGCTGGCCGCCGGGGCTTCCCGGCGAGCCCCGCAGGCCGCGCTGGCGCGCGGGCAGTTCAGCGCGAGCTAGTGACTCGAGCGGGCGCGGTATCATTGCGACGCCGACCAAGGCAGCCACGACGAATCCAAAAACGTCTGCTTAGAACTAAACAAACTCTAAGCTGCGAAATTTAACTTCACTCCAAGCGTTCTCTTGAACAGTGGTCCAGGTCCAGATCTTACAAGCAGCAAGCGGGAGAACGAAGCTCCAAGCAAACGCGCAGGGCCCAGCCCAGATCCTTGCGATATGAGGAGAGTTCTGGGGGCCATGAGACTGCATGCTCTCTCTTGAGATTTCTGATGGGTGTAGCGACGATGAGAACGATGAAGGTGGCAACGTGACGGCGCCGATGCGAATCACGCCGATGACGATTATGGTGCCTGCGTGTCTTATTAAGATGCTGGAAAGGTTTCGAAATGCGCGCGGAGCTGATGCGGTCGAATGGCCCGCGTGGAATTAATCACACCAGCCTTCTGGGCGCAGGTGGTCTAACGATGACTTTCTTTCCTCTTCCAAAAGCCCGTCTTCCCCTGGGGGAGGGGTTCGCCCCTCCCCCTACCCCCTCCCCTGGACCTGGACGGGAGGGGCCGCGATCGGTTGGAGGGTTGTTTTTCGGCCCATGGGGGGCAAAAGTTTGACACCCCTCGAGAGGATCGTGGCCCCCGAGGGGGGGCCTCGATCTGGACCCTCCCTCCTTTGATCGATAGCCTCGGAAATGGCCCCAAGAGGCACCCGAAAGGCCCCCAAGAGGCCCCCGAACGGTCTCAGAGGGCCCAAGGTGACCTCCAAGATGGCCTAGATAGCCCAAGCTGGCTCAAGATGGCCCCCAAGATGTTCCAAACGGCCCCAAGACCGTTCCAAGAGCGCCCAAGAGCGCTCCAAGAGAGCACCAAGAAGCGGTTCGCTGGCTCCTGAGAGGGGGAGCTGAGCTGGGGACCCCCATCCTGTAATCGATGGCCTCCAAGATGGTCCTAAGAAGCCTGCCGAGGTTACCAAGAGGGTTCCAAAAAGGCCCCCCAAACCCCCAGAGAGCACCAGCAGCAGCAGCAACCGCCAGAATACCTCTAGATGGTTGCATGGGTCCTCGCCAGCGTCGTCCTCATCCTAGTCGTCGTCCTCCTCGTCCTCGTCCTCGTCCGCGTCCGCGCCCTCCTCGTCCTCCTCGTCCCCTTCGTCCTCCTCCTCCTCCTCCTCCTCCTCCTCCTCCTCCTCCTCCTCCTCTGCCTCCTCCTCCTATTCTCATCGCCCCCACGCGGCGCCCAAGGATGGCCAGAAGAGGCCTTCCAAGGCCACCCGTTTGCTCGCTTTGTTTCCCTGAATGTGTCTTTTCGTCCCGTTTCCCGTCAGCTCTGAAGGGCAGGGTTTCTGAATGGGCTGGTGGTGATACTTTTTTGTTGCAACCGCAAGCGAAGGCGCAAGCGGCGTCAAACGGGACGGGCGGGCCACGCGCGAACCTAATTGCCTAACGCGCCGGCAAACCGGAGGCTTAAGCGGCACCGAAGCGTTCCGGAAGCGAGAGGTGGTGAGGGCTGCAGCTGCCAGGAAACAGGCCCAGGAGCGAACACATGCAAAATTAGCCAACCAAGGTTGGGGCGCATCCAAAATGGCGCGGGAGCGATACCAGGATGACGCCAGGAGCACCATCACGAAGGACCGCAGACACCAGCTAGGCCAGAAAGAACTCACTGACCAGGAAACTAGTGCATGGAAGTGGCACCACCAAAGTCGCACACAACGCTGACAAGTGGCCGCTGAGGGCGAGGACAAAACGTAGGATAAACCACACGAGACATCCATGCACCCAGCCCGTGAAGGGGGCAGCTCGCTTGCAATACACTCCAGGAGGTAATACTAACACCGATGGCCAGGGCTAGCGGTGATAGGCGAAGCGTGAAGAATTGACGATGCTCGCGCCCCCGCCCGCCCCCCCAGCAAGCGCGCAAAAGCGTTCGAGTGAATTACGCACGCGCGCGTGGAAAGCCCGCATGGTCGCATGCGATGAAAAACGGAAAACGTAGTTTTATATAGAAACTCGAAAGAGCGCGCGCATTCATTATTTGGCAATACGGTCAGCAAGGGCCGTGGACCCCGGAAAGAGCGCACCCCCCCTGACCCCCCCCACCCCCCAAAACGAATTCCGAATCCTCGGACCTGTCTTGCGCCTTGGGTTTTCTCTGATGTTCGACTCTCCCGGCCCTCTTGGGCAAGCCTTCGGCCTCTTCGGAGCTCGTCTGGGGACTCATTTGGAGCCGTCCTGGGGCTATCTCGACGCCTCAAGAGCCGATCGTAAGCGAAACTGCGGGAAGACCAGCATTCCTGTTTTTTCCCATGGTTTTCATTGAATTTCAATTATCCGGTCATTCTTCGGCCAGCCTTGGGCCTCTTTGGGGCTCGTCTGAAGCCAATCGTAAGCGAAAAGGCGGGGAGACCAAAAACATTGATTTCCCAATGGGTTCTCAAGGACTTTCAAATTTTTGGGCCCTCTTCGGCCAACTTTGGGCCTCTGTGGGCCTCGGTTTACGCCTCTCTGAGGCCATCCTGGGGTCATCTTGATGCCTCTCGAGCCAACCGGAAAGGAAAAACGAGAAGGCCGAACACATTGCTTTTCCAATTGGTTTTCCCTGATTTCCGGCTCTCTGGGCCCTGTTGAGCCAGCCATGGGCCTCTTCGGGGCTCGTCTGGGGACTCATTTGGAGCCACCCTGGGGATATCTTGACGCCTCAACAGCCGATCGTAAGCGAAATGCGAGAAAACGAAACTATGGATTTTTTCAATGGTTTTGCGTTGATGTCCTATTTGTTTGGCCTTCTTGGGCCAGCCTTGGGTCTCTTTGGGGCTCGAAACCGGCAGCCCAGCAGCGCGCATGCCGAACATATCACTTTCTGTAGGAGGTGCAGGAAGAGGAGGAGGAGGAGGAGGAAGAGGAGGAGGAGGAGGAGGGGCAGGAGGAGGAGGAGGAGATGGAGGAGAAGGAGGAGGAGAAGGAGGAGGAATTAGAGGAAGAGGGGAGAGAGGAGAAATAGGATGGTGATGAGGAGAAAGAGGAGGAGGATAAGGGGGAGGAGGAGAAAGAGGAGGAGGATGCCCTGCTTCATGCTAGCCCAACCACTAGCCTGAGACAGATTCGCGCCTCTGGGCCCCGAAACGTCCTGAGATGGCCTCAGCTGGTGTTGTCCGGACGCTCCCGCTAAGAAATTCCTTACCCATTCCGACTTGCTGGTGGCCCGCTCCATGTCGACGCGCACGCACGCAGCCTGCATTCGAAACTACAAGGAACAAGGTGCATGGCGCGAAGCGCAAATACTGTCTTGTGTATATAGATATGCATTTATGTAGGTATGCTCTTCTCTCATACTCTCTCCTTCCCTCTCTCTCTTTCTCTTTCTCGCCCCGCTCCCCTCCCGAAGCGCTTGACGCCCATGAACGGGCACATGGATACCACCTCGGCGAAGATCAACTCTTCAATACCAGAGCGGCTGAAACGAAGGGAACAACCGCTTACGGACGTGATGGGCTATGGAGGGTCGAGGACCACACGTGGGTGTGCGCAGACACTACATGAAAGAACACTGTAGAACGCCCCCCCCCCCAGTCACGAGCGCGTCGGGGCAGATCGCGAGAGCGCGCGACGCAAACGCTTCTGAAGAGCACGCCTGCCACATCCCAAAACAGAGAAGGGACAGATCAACTGGCAGGGGGCGTGGCGAGACTGGTCGAAACCAGCCCTGTGAGCGCGCCAGACAAACCTGCCTCCCCGTACTGGCCTGTCGGGCCCGCAACTGGGTAGGTGACAAGTGCCCCGTTCGTCTTCAAGTGCGCCGCGGAGGTTCCTACACCGTGCAAGGATGCGAAGCTCCCCCCCCAGACACTCTGCGCCGTGTCAAATTAAATGGTCAGCAATGTTAGGTGGCCGCCACCTTGTATTAGCGCTTTTTGTACATACGCACACACCTATACATATATACATTTGCATGCGCATATGTATATGTGTGTATGCATGTATGCATGTATGTATGTATGGATGTATGAATGTGTGTATGTATGCATGCATGCATATGTATATGTATGTATGTGTGTATGTATGTATGTATGTATGTATGTACGTACGTACATACGTATGTATGTATGCATGTTTGTATGTATATATGTATGTATGTATGTATGTATGTATGGATGCATGTATGTATGTATGTATGTATGGATGGATGTATGTATGTATGCGTTTGCGCATATGTACGTATGTATGTATGCATGTATATATGTATGTATGGATGTATGTATGTATGTACGTATGGATGTATGTATGTATGTATGTATGTATGTATGTATGTATGTGTGCATGCATGCATGTATGTATGTGTGTATGTATGTATGCATGTGTGTATGTATGTGTGTATGCGTGTACTCATGTTTGTACGGATGCGTGGTTGCGTATTGTTGTTTGTATGCATGAATGTCTGTGTAGGTATGTGTGTACCTGTCTACACCTGCATATCTCTACATGTGGTTGCACATATAAACAAGCATAAACTGAGTTTCCGAATGCTGTAGCCACGCGCGCCTCGCGCGCTTGCGTTCCAGTCACAGTTGCGCCATGTCGTGCGTCGTGCGGCCACCGTGTTCGCTCCCCCTCCGCGACATGGGGCCGCACTCATGCGTGGAGGTCCATGTGGCGGAGGATCGATGCAGATCACCGCTTTGCGCTTTTGAGGAGCAGAATGTGCCAACGGAGGAAACAACGAACATATTTCCCCGACGTCGTGGAACGGACACGCTGATGGGAGAGAGTGTTCCAAAACATGCTCGTACGCTTCGCCATTTTCGATTCGGGAAGTTGGCATCGCCGTGGAATGGCGAGAATGCCTGAGGCGACATGATCCAGACCCATTTGTGCGCGGCTTCTGGGGATCTGACGCGAGGAGGTCATAGGCTGAACGGGCCACAACTAGTCGCTCAGTGAATCTGGGAGACGCTGAGTTCGGATGGCGAGTCATGCGAGGTGAGCCAGACCACCTCGCGGGAAGGCGTGCTGCAACATCAGGGACGCGTGCCGGGTTTACTTTGGTATCCCTCCTCCTATCGAGGCGGGCGAGCGTGTCGCCGGCACCCCGTCTCGTGTCTCGCCTCGCCTCTCCCTGCCCTCCGCCCGAGCGTCCGTGATGCCCTTGACTTTGGCGAAACCCTTGACGAACTCCTGCGGCGGGGCGGGAAGAGGTGCCGTCCCGTCTGCACCGTGCATTTGGCCCTGCGACGCTCGTCTTCGACCCAAGACTCCGCACCGTGCGGCCTCGTCGCGCCCCCAACTCTGGCTCCGAACGAGTGAGCACACAAGCCAGTGCAGGGGGTCATACTTGGATCGATGCCAACGTGACGAGGCCAAGCGACGCTGAACGAGTATGCTGGCGCATGCCCTGCACACAGACCGCAGCTCGCCCGTGCAACGCGAGGCCACCGCCGACACACGGCTCCCCCCTTCCCCGCATCCTCCTCCTCCTGATATCCCTCCTGCTCTTCTCCCTCCTCCTCCTCCTCCCGCTCCTCGTCTTCCTTCTCCTCCTTGACATTGGACAATTCCACCATGTGCATATTACCCACCTCTCTCCCCCAACCCTGTCCGGAAAATGATCCGCCCTCTCCGCGTATTGCTTGTTGCACACGCAGGATTGGGCAAAGGTAAGTTCTTTCCCGCGGACGCTTGCAATCACATTGTTTTCGGTGTTTCAAGATCGTGCTCCCCGCTGTAGCGTGAGCCTCATTTTCGGACCTGCGCTTTGCCCACGTCGTTCAGAATGGCGCTCTCGCCCTGGGGCGGGCCACTTTTCTGGATTCGAACATTTTTTTTGATGCTAATCGCCCCTCAGATCACCTCCTCCACCTTCCCCTGGTGCTCCTGTTCCTCCCGCGTTTTCCGCTCCAGTTCCTGCTGCTGTTGTTCGTTCTCGTCCTCCTCCTTCCTCATCGTCATCCTTTTCCTCCTGCTCATCCTTCTGCGCACCCGCCAACTCCACCTCCTCCTCCTCCTCATCATCCTGTGCACGCAGCTCCCCCTTTTGTTTCCGGTAGTGCATGACGCGATGAGATTCCCACCAGCCCTCTGGGCGTGAGTGGTTTAGCGAGCTCTCTCTGTTCTCAGCCCCCCTTCTTCCCCCTCGGGGAGGGGTTTACCCCTCCCCCTACCCCCTCCCCCTGGACCTGGAGCGGGGGTCGTTGGAGGGTCTTTTTTCGACTCCTGGGAAGGCTAAAATTCGACACCCCTCACGAGGATTGTGGCCCCGACGGGGGGAGGCAGAAAAATGCTCGCCCCAGCTGTGATCGATCGCCCGAAAGATGGCCCCCAGAGACCTCCCTGACCCCTCCCAAAGAGCCCCAAGAGGCCCCAAGAGGCCTCCAAGAGGCCCCCAAGATGCCCCCAAGAGGCCCCAAGAGGCTCCCCCGAGGCACCCAAGACGCTCCTGGAAGCCCCTGGGGCCGCCAAGAGGCCCCCAAGACGCCGGAGGGAGACAAGGCGATGGGAGGCAAGACAGAGGGCGGTCGTCGTCGAGTTATACACGTGAACGAGTCAGACGACTCACATGACGGCGACGTCTCAGACGATGACGGCGACGACGACGACGACGACGATGACGACGACGATTACGATGACGACGACGACTTCGACGACGACGATTCCATGGACGACGACGTTGACGATCCAGCGATCTCTCCCGACCAGTTGTGCAGTGAGCGTCCCACGGAACTGGCTGCATGCTTCGCTGGCCTTGCTGTTCGGAGATAGTAGTAGTACTACTGCTACTACTACTACTACTACTACTACTACTACTACTACTATTACTACTACTACTACTACTACTACTACTACTACTACTACTACTACTACTACTACTACTGCTACTACTAGTACTACTACTACTGCTACAACTGCTACTACTGCTACTACTACTACCACTACTAATTCTACTACGACGGCTACTGCTACTGCTACTGCTACTGCTACTGCTAGTGTCACTGCTACTGCTACTACTACTACTACTACTACTACTACTACGACTACTACTACTACTACTACTACTACTACTGCTACTACAACTGCGACTGCTACTGCTCAGACTATTATTACTACTAATACTACTTCATCTGCTACTACTACTACTACTACTACTACTACTACTACTAGTACTACTACTACTACTACTACTACTACTACTACTACTACTACTACTACTACTACTACTACTACTACTACGACTACTACTACTACTACTACTACTACTACTACTACTACTACTACTACTACTCCTACTACGAGGGGCCCGAACGACTTGCACCAGGACGAGGTGCCCGAACGCCTCACGCCACGAGGAGCCCGAACGACTCACACCAGGACGAGGGGCCCGAACGACTCACACCACGAAGAGCCCGAACGACTCACACCAGGAGGAGGGGCCCGAACGACTCACACCAGGATCACACCACGAGCCCGAACGTCACACTCACACCGAGGGGCCCGAACAACTCACACCACGAGAAGCCCGAACGACTCACACCAGGACGAAGAGCCCGAACGACTCACACCACGAAGAGCCCGAACGACTCACACCAGGAAGAAGGGCCCGAACGACTCACACCAGGACGAGAAACCCCAAACGACTCAAACCACGAGGAGCGCTTTCTCTCCCTCCTCCTCCGCCTCGTCCTTCTCCCGCTCCCACCACAAGGAGGATGTACAAGGAGGCGGGAGGAAGGAGGAACAGGGGAGATATGCGGGGGCAGGCGGAAACACGCCTGAAAAACACGACTGTCGGCATGCTTCGCAAGAGTTGCTGTTTTGAGATGGGCTGGTGGGGATACGCGAAGCGTGAAGAATTGCTTTGAGTGCCAGGTCGGCTGTGACACGCGTCCACGGATAGAGACAAACTCAGCGCAATGGAGAATCGTGGGAGGGAATGGTGGGGTGTCAGAAGGGGGGTGAGCGCACCTCGCTTGTCCTCCTCCTACTCTTCCTCTCGCGTAGCTCGGAGCTCCTCGTTTCTCCTCCTCCTCCTCCTCCTCCGCCCATGGGGCTCCGCCCCTGCTCCCCCCTTCTTCTCCTTCTCCTCGTTTCCCCTGTCCCCTCCTTCTCCTCCTCCTCCTCCTCCTCCTCCTCCTCCTCCTCTTGCTCCCTCTTCCTCCTCCTCCTCCTCCTCCTGCTCCCCCCTTCTCCTCCCTCCATCCCCCTCCGCCTCATCCTCCTCCTCCTCCTCCTCCTCCTCCTCCTCCTCCTCCTCATCATCATCATCAGAGTATTCCTCCTCTGCCTGCTCGCTGCTCCGCCCTGCCCTCCATACCCTTGTTCTGTATCTCCTCCTGCTGCTGCTCATGACGGTAGATAGGTACTCCCTGCTGCCATTGGCCCCCCCCTGCGGTTGCCGTATTGCCCGGCAAGAGGGGGCCATTCCGAAAATGGGCCGATCTCTGGCGGTGGGGCCGGCGAGGAACGACGGGGGGGAGAAACGGACGGGGGCCCGAAAGAGGAGGACGAAGGCGGACACGGACGGCGGATCGAACGAAGGAGGGGAGGAAACGAGGAAATGGATCTGCGGGTCGACTGTCGTGCGCCCTCCCAACCCGCCCCCCCATCTAACCTCATCCCCCCCCCCACCTGTCCTGACCTGTCTAGACCTCAGAGGTAGTTGTCGTCGTAGTCGGGCTCAGTAGAAGGGGTACTTTAAATCGGAGTAGATGGTCGTAGTGGAGGGTGGGTGGTAGGGCGTCGGGTCTTTGGGAGGGGTGGGGAGTGGCCAGGTCTCTGCTCGGGGACGCGGGCAGGGGTGGCCGCAGGCCAATGTCCCGCGGCGGAGGCGGGGGCCGCAGGCCCCAGACAGGTGTCGCCGCCAACGTCCTGGGTGCGTAGCCGAAGAGGGGTACAGGGGAGGGGGGGTGAGGCGGTTGTGGCCGAGTGCCGCCATCGGCGGGATGCGTTGCCTCAGGGGCGGCGCCAGTCGGTGAGGAGCAAGGGCGCTAGAGGTCGGAGGGGCGTTGCAACCTAGAAGATGCGTTGTGTGGTGGTGTCGCCAGTAGCGCGGCAAGGCTCGGAAGCCAGGGTCGTCTTGTACATGGTTCGAGGGGTGGCGCTGGCGTGGCCTGTGTCGGCTCTAGTGCTGGTGCTGGTGTCGGAAGCTGGTCTGAAGCTGGTGTCGGCGCTGGAAGGGCGTAAGGAAGGGCGTGGGAAGCTGGTGTCGGTGCTGGCGTCGATGCTGGCGTCGGGAGTGGCCGCGGTGTTGACGTTGATGCTGGCTCCTGTGCAGAAGTCGCTGGCGTCTTCGATGCTGGCGCTGATGCTGGGCTTGCTGCATGCGTCGGTGCCGGCGTCGATGCTGGAGTCGATGCTGGTGTTGGTGGTGGCTTCGTGGTGTTGTGGCCCAGGCCCTTCACCTCGTGGTGCTTCACCTCGTGGTGCTTCTTCGGGTCTCCGGGTGGGGGCAGGGTGACTGCCGGGCATGCCGCGCGGCCCCTGCCCTTGCGCAGAACTGAGTTCGATGGTGGAGTCGATGCTGGCGTCGGTAGTGACGGTGGTGTTGACGCTGATGCTGGTTCCGGTGCTGGAGTTGCTGGCGTCTTCTGGCGCTGTTGCTGGGGTTGATGCAGGCGTCGGTGCTGACGCTGATGCTGGCCCTGGTGCTGGGGTCGCTGGCGCCTTCGGTTCTGGCGATGATAATGCGGCTGATGATGGAGTCGGTGCTGGTGTCGATGGTGGGTGCAGTGCTGGCGTCAATACTGCTGGCGTCGGTAATGACGCTGATGCTGACGTCGATGCGTGCTCCAGTGCTGAAGTCGCTGGAGTCTTCGATGCTGGCGCTGTTGCTGGGGTTGATGCAGGCGTCGGTGCTGGCGTCGGTGGTGGGAGCAGTGCTGGTGTCACTGCTGGAGTCGGTGCTTGCGTCGGTGGTGACGCCGATGCTGACTTTAGTTGCTTCGGTGCTGGAATCGCTGGCGTGATTGATGCCGTCGCTGATGCTGGGGCTGATGCTGGCGTCGGTGCTGGCGTCAATGGTGAGGTCGGTGCTGGCGTCGATGCTGGCGTCGATGCTGGCGTCGGTGGTGACGCTGATACTGGCTTTAATGGCTCCGGCGCTGGAGTGACTGACGTCTTGGATGTTGACGCGGATGCTGGGGCTGATGCTGGCGCCGGTGCTGGCTCTGGTGCTGGAAGTGCTG